TTCCGAAGATGTCAGGTTTTTACGTTAGAATTCTTATGGCAAAATACAACTGTTAGTCTTTGCGGTGCCACCAGACTCCTTGTTGTTTCTGCCCTCAGAGTTGCACATAAAATTCCCAAGAGCAATTTAAAAGGTATCCCTTTGTTCCTCATAAATCCATTTTCATTAAATTAGGTCTCTCATGCACCATATCCAGGAACTTTGGAAATAATAATGTTGTACTGGATTTTTTAAATCGTTTTTCCTTTGGGTTTCAGTACAAAATAGTGCTCTGATCACACAATCCATGATGTTTCCTTGTGTAGAAATTCATTACACTCTCATAGCAGCAGCAGCAGCCTTTGGGCACATGTAACATATTTAAAACAATTTAGCTACATATATACACAGTATTATTGGTGTGAGGTAGACACCAGTATATGTCCCACCAATGGATTGAGAATAATTCCTGTTTTAATACTGTGGATCAAATCGTGGGCCTATGTCAAGATGCACTAAAGGTCATGGGAGCTGTTCACTTCCATGTATGCTGGCTCTGCACTGGACTGACTGACCTTCACAACAGTTGGTCCTAGGGAATCAAAAGGGAGAAGGGTGGAAGTAGGGGTCCCAGAGTATTTTTATCCCAATGGGTTATTTCCTTCTCTTAACAGCTGTTAGCCTCACTGCCTCCATAGGACTCATCAGTCTCACAGAAATCACTTATTTGGGGAGCAGTTAAACCTGTTCCTTGGAAGGCGCTGTTTCCTTCTATGCCAGCTGTGAATTCCCTGACCACCATATATGGCAGTTGGTAGGTGGAGTCACAGACGCTGCTTCTCGGAAGAGGGAGTGGTTGGGCCAGTTTTGAGAGGTTCTTGGCCCTCTGGACTTGTGTTGGATTCCACAGCTCCAACTCCTGAATACTCTTTGATGCAGTAGCTAATGATATGGAATTTAACTTAATTTAGAAGTGGTGCATAAAGTAGTGCTAACAAGTGTTCCTGTATCCTTGTTGCCATGACAAAGAGGCTAATTTCTTAAGGTGTTGGATAGAAGTTTATAAGAAGAAAATAGTGAAGTAATACTTCCTTTTATATATTGTTTAATTTCCCGTTGTGTGTTATTAAATAAATATTGTGTGACGTTATAACAATGCTTCTTTGATAAAATAGATGTAATACTGCCTCATTTAAAAATACCAGTGTGCTACTCTATTATCATTTATCTATATTTAAAAATATGCTTTATGTGGCTTTAATGCAATGGTGCCCAAACTTTTCCTGTCCTGCCCCCCCACTACCAGTAACGGAATCTGTCCATGCTTCCCCTCCATTATTGCACAGCCAAGGCTTCCTCAACAGAGGTGCTTATGCTGAAGGCGGAGCTGGGGACAGAATTGGGGATGGGGTGGAGGTGGGGCTACAGGTGGAGCTGGCCTGGGGGTGGAGAGGGAATGAGGGCAGAGCTGGGCTGGTGGTGGAGGAGGGGACGGAGTGGAGTTATGGCTGGGGGCAGAGTGGGGCTGGGTGGTGCTCCCACCCTGCCCTTCATGGGGGGCTGGCCCAGGCCCCACTGTGTACCCCCCCAAACATTCCTCAATGCCCCCCCACCCATGGGGGGCGTGCCCTACAGTTTGGGGACCACTGTTTTAATGAAATACATGAGTTTGTTATGATGATACACTTGTCACCACTTCAAATGACCTCATTTACATTGTGAAATATAATCTATCCCAACATAATGGGTGTTCTTGTTTCATAGGTGATAAAAGTCTACAAAGCAGCAGTACAACAGACCTTGGATGTCCTCTTCCTTCCTGAAGGAAAAGAATTTCTTACAAGCACGGATGCAGTAAGCCGGGACTCAGCTGACCGTACGATCATTGCATGGGATTTCCACAGTGCTGCAAAAATTTCCAATCAGATTTTTCATGTAGGGTTAACACTTATTATTATTTGAATGCTGATTTAGTATATTACATTGTGAGCAGAGTAAAAAGCTTTTGATTTTTCCTAAACTGCTGTGAGTTATTGATCAATTTTGCTGGAAGAAGGGATGAGTGCAGCTTATATTAAATCACAGTACTTCTGTATGATTTGAAGTAAGCCATTATAATGTTACTGTGATGTGTAAACTGCTACTTACTAAAAAGCAAGAGCTGTTTTTCTATTTTAGCAGCCCTTACTTATTCTCTGTAACTATAATTGTGAAGTGACCTAGAGAACTGTGAGTGCTCTCCTTGGAAAAGTATTTCCGTTTCACTGCCTATTCACTGACTTTTGAGCTAAGTTTAGGCAGGTACACAGGTAGAAATGTCGGTGTGTCCTGCAACTGTGTATCAAAGTATTTGTTATGGTATCACATTTCCCTCTCCAGTACCTTTCCCAGGACAGCAGAAGTGATGTATTTGGGGTGATCACAGGTGAAGGATTTTATCAATAAAATGTTTGAGCAATAGCATGGTATATGCATGTAAATACATAGCAAAGGATAATAGCAGAGGCAAAATGGTGCTGGCAAAAAAATTACTTTAGCAAACACAGGTGCAATATTCCTTGCAATATGTAGCAGTCCAACCAACTAATTCATTTACATGCTGAATTGTCCAGAAAGGCTGGCAGCTTCACACGACACTTAGTGAGTTAGTCCTTGCTCCCTTAGGCTCCTTTGAAAATCCCAGCCTAATCGCTCATGTAAGTTGAAGAATGCATGAGTGAATTGGGTTCAGGTAGTTCTACTTTTTTACTGGAAAGAACTGTACTGGCAACAAGATGGAGTGGATGATCTAGTAAGACACTTCTATCTCTAACTTCCACAATTATGTCTTTGTTCAATTTTGGAGCAGCACGCGTCCTGGGTATGCAGTTTGACAGCATGTTAGTCATTTGCTCTGGAAAGAAAATGCTTCAGTGAATAAACAAACTGCAAAGCAGTCATATTCAGTGTACTGAGCAGTTTAAACAAGACAATTCTTTTGGAAATAGAGCATCACTGAATGGGGCAGTTAATTCACTCTTTAATATGTTACTAACAAAAAATAGATAGTGATTTTGGGAAATAAGTACTCTTAGTTTTGTAATATTCAATTTCTAACCTTTAAGATGGGAGTGTCTGGACTTTACTACTATGCTAGAATGCAGATGAGAAACCCATCATCTCACTACTCATGAATACACATTAAATAGCCCAAACTATGTATTTTTAATTTACTTTCTTCTGCAAAATAGCTGAACCCTTTTCGATCAAACTTTCCCCCAAAATTTGACTGGAAACGGGGGGTTCTCATTTTTCACTCCTACATCTTTTCTGCCTGTTCTAGCCTGTTTTACTATCATTTCCCAAGATTGTTTAAGTTTTTCTCCCTGTGCCTTTCTTTTGTGTTTCCTCTGTCTAATACTCTTTACTTAACTGAGGGTTTGTCTATGTGGTGATTTAGTGTGTGGTAAACCAGGTTTAAATTGATAGTGCACCTGGTTGCCATACACTAACTGGTTGTGTGGATCCTGCTACTGCGCACTGAAAGTCCCATAGTGCAGAACTGCGGAACTTTTAGTGTGTGGTAGGAGGGTCCACATGGCCAGTTGGTGTGCAGCAATCACTGTAGATTGACACCCTGGCTTGTCATGTGCTAAATCTTCCTGTAGACAAGCCCTCAACCTCCCAATCTTTTTTCTGTTGTCCCACTTCTACTTGCTAGTAATGCTTCATCATTTCTCATTTGTAAATTTACCTTTAAGCTTTTATTTATCTTTTTGCTGTCCAACATTTGAAAGAGCATAGCATTCCTTTTGCCCAACGCAATAATCTCATATGTTTTTACTGCGCATAAACTGTGATTTATAGTGAAACATAAAGTTGTACATTAGAACTAGAGATGAGCTAAAACCAGAACTTTGATTCCAATTGCCCTCCCCCTTAGAATTTCACTAAGTTTGTGAAAGTTTGGGAAGTTTGTATTTGAATCCCTGGATCTAAACCTGCCCATGTGACTTTGGATTTCTTCTGAAATTGGAGGAAACCCTTTTTCTCACTTTGCTTTGGATTTGGCTCATGAAGTTACCATCATTCATAATTCTAAACACTGGCCTAAGGCTATTGTGGATCCAAAAGTATCCATCTCTTCCTACAGCTGAACATTTTGAACTGAAAATAGTCGTGTTGAAAAGTGACATCATTTGTGACTTCTGACCTTACTAGGATTAGAAAGATCAGTTGTAATTAACAAACTGTTTTCTTCATGATACAAATAGCAGTAAAGAGGTATTTCGTACTAGGGGGTAAATCCTGTCCCTGCCTCTGTAATCAGAGAAGATTCTCTGGCAGCAGAACTGTAAGGGTAGCCAGGGTTTAGGGAGTTAAACAGGGACTATGGAAGGGGGTGGGGAGTAGGACTAGAGGACCCATTGCTACATGGAACCTTTAGTCTTCCTAGGACCCCAGAAGCTGTTTGAGTGCTTTTGGGCTGAAACTGCCTTTTTAAAGGGGTGAAAGGGAATATTCCTTCCCTATGCATTTGCCCAGCTCCTGCTCAGCCCAGCTAATTAGGGTAGATACCAGATTTAATATTTGCCCCATGTGAACTTTCAGGAGAGTGTGTTGAGCAAATTGGGCATGGATTTCTTTTAAATTTCTTCATGGTTACATATCTAAAATATGTCAGTTCTCACCCATCTTCTAATCATTCAGATATGTTAGATCTACAAAAGACTGCCTGATTAATTTGAACATGTCTGTATTTCAGGCAACAAAAATATAGGAATGTCAATCTTCTCAACTATTTTTTAGGAGCGTTATACCTGTCCGAGTCTGACTCTGCACCCTAGAGAACCTGCATTTGTTGCTCAAACAAATGGAAACTACATGGCATTGTTTTCTACCCAACGACCATACAGAATCAACAAAAAGAAAAGATATGAAGGGCATAAGGTATTATTCTTCACAAGAAACTTAAAGTATTCAGGACTATAAGTAATATAACCAATTTCTGTTCCCTTAACATGTCTGCTGATACTATTGATTTATAAACCAGGGTAGATATTAATTGATTTGCTTCTTTTCCTGTCTGGTTTCCTGTAATGTAGTTAATTTAGAACGATACCCGTTATGAAGACAACGGAGATTAAAATAATGGAAGATTTTGTGAATTGTTAATAGCTTCACCAATTATTGATTGACTAGTGCTAACAATTTAAAGTCGAAATAAGTTTGTCTTAATAAACACCTGGGGAAATAATTAGAGCATATTGTGTAAAAGAGACATTTTTAGTACATTAATGCATTTTCAGGAGGTTACATTAAATTTCCCTAATTAGCATATTGATTTACTCTTATTCTTGACTCTTCACAGGTGGAAGGATTTGCAGTGGGCTGTGAATTTTCTCCAGATGGAACACTTCTAGTGACAGGAAGTTCAGAGGGCAAAATATTTTTCTATAACTATCACACTGCTAGAATCATTCACACTTTGTCTGCACATAACCAGGCTTGTGTGAGTGCAACTTTTCATCCAGTCCTTCCGTCACTTCTTGCAACGTGTGACTGGGCTGGAGATATCAAGATCTGGCAATAAGAAGACAGGGTTCCCTTTCAGAGTGAATCCAGCTAGTCCACATTGAAGACACGGGTGCTGGTGTTTCATCATAAATAAACCAGTGTATGTAATTTGAATTTTTCTTATGAATATGAGGGAGTCTGTTGTCATTTTGTATATTCCATCCAAGCCTTCTAAGAGTAGGATTTTCAATCCTTCCGTCTGGAAGTCAATGAGAGTCAGGCTAACACTGAGCGTTTTTGAAAATATCATCTAAGCTTTAAGCTTAAATTTGTTTTTTATCATTTGATGCCTAATGGGGGTAAAAAGGAGGCATAGTGGTAAATATTAAATTATACCAAAATTAAAAAAAGAATATTTCCACATGACTGCAGGTCTCTGCATGTCCAACTCCTTGCTGCTCTGAGTCCGCTTAACACTGGGGTCAGTGTTATAATAATATTTTACATTTATAACATCATTTTTCAATCCAAAAGATCTCTACTTCCATGCAGTTCAGGATCACCATGTGGAAGTCTTCTTCTGAAGTGCAAAGGAAAAGGATCTCCTTTTCTACCGACCTCTGTTAAATACATATCACCAGTTATATGGTGGTTCTTCTTCTTCTTCAACTGGTGTTAATTGTCATAGTATCATTGAAGCCAATAGAGCTATTACAATTTAGACCAGCTAAAGATCTCCCCCAAATATTTTTACATAGTCCTGTGTGTGTATAAGAGAGAGAGAGAAAATTAATCTTGTGCCTTTTAGTATCAACCTTAACTCTGACTCACAAGATATACTGACTCTTTAAACATATACATAGATTATTTAGAAGTTGTCTTTATATTTTGATGATTATGTTGAAAAGATAAATATGTCTTGTATGTTGGAATTAAGACTGCTACTAGAATGTGAGAGATGAATTTTCACATATCAATATTGTGGTTAATTGATTTTAATGAACTGCAGTGTTACAGAATATATATGTCCATTTTAACTGAATATTTCCAGATTTTTTTAACTAGTCTTTTTTATGACAATGCTGTAGTTTGCAGATGTGTTATTCTGTGATCTAACTCTAAATTAAGGAAGCATTTTGTTTGAGAATATCAACTAGAAAAGAAGAGAGCATGTACCACAGAAATGAAAGGGGGGAATCCCTTTTCTGATGAGACAAAGACCTGAATTTCAAACATGTGGGGGTTAGAATTGTAGGGTAGTTAAGCCACATAACCACATTTTGCTATTGCCTAACTAGAAAAAAGAAAGTAAAAGGAGATGGGAAGGGGAGCATCCCATCAGTTTTTGCCTCTAATTTGTTTGCTGCCGTCATTGGCAATCAAAGCTAGTTCTCTCCCTATTAATTCCATTATAGTATTTCAGTCTATGAAAAAGAACTTTATTCAGATACTGGTAATATTGTAGCTCCATATTAACCCATATATATTGCTATATCATAGAATCATAGAAATGTAGGACTGGAAGGGATCTTGAAAGGTCACCTAGTCCAGCCTCCTTTGCGCTGAGGCAGGACCAAGAAAACCATTTCTGATAGGTGTTTGTCTAAGCTGGTTTTAAAATCCTCCAATGACGGGTATTCCACAACTTCCCTTGAAGCCTATTCTAGTTCTTAACTATCCTGATAGTTAGTTAGAAAGCTTTTTCTGATATCTAACCTAAATCTCCCTTGCTGCAGCTTAAGCCCATTATTTCTCTTTTCTTCAGTGGATGTGAAGAGCAATTGATGAATCCCCCTTATAACAGCCCTTAATGTTTTTGAAGACTGTTATCAGGTCCCCCCTCAGTCCTCTTCTCAAGACTAAACATGCCCAGTTTTTTTAACGTTTCATCATAGGTCGGGATTTCTAAACTTTTTATTTTTGTTGCTGTCCTCTGGACTCTCTCCAATTTGTCCATATCTTTTTTTAAAGTGTGTTGGCCATAGGCACCGACTCTGTGGGTGCTTCAGGGTGGGAGCACCCACAGGGAAAAAATGGTGGGTGGGGAGCACGCACCAGCAGCCCCCCTATCAGCTCTCTCCCACCCCATCCGCTAGCACCTTCAGCCCGCTGTGCCCCACGGATCAGCTGTTTCACGGCGTTCAGGAGGCTGGGAGGAAAAAGGGAGGGCGGAGGAGTGAGGACGCAGTGCATTCGGGGGGGGGGAGGAGGAACTGGGCGGGAAGAGGCGGGGTGGTGGTGAAGTGGGGGTGGGAAGAGGTGGGGCGCGGTGGAGTGGGGGCGGAAAGAGGTGGGACCTTGGGGGAAGGGGTGGAGTGGGGGTAGGCTGACCAGAGAGCAAGTGTGAAAAATCGGGACAGGGAATGGAGGGTAATAGGAGCCTACATAAGAAAAAGCCCCAAATATCAGGACTGTCCTTATAAAATCAGGATATCTGGTCACCTTAAGTGGGGGCAGGATCTGGGATGGAGCCGGGGGTCGATCACTCCCCCGGCACTTTGAAAAGTCGGCGCCTGTGATGGTGGCCAAAACTGGAGATATATATCTGTTAATGTATGTACATATGATATATGTTTGTAACCTACCTGGGTCTAAAAAAAGTAAATATATAAATAGTGTACATATATTTATGTATTTAAATGCTCTGACACAAAGTAAGACTTAGTGTATATGTAGTCATTCAAATAGCAAATCATCTACTTACAAAGAGAAGCTAAATAAAATGAAAACCCAACCACAGTCTCTGAACTGATGAATAGAGAGCTGCACTGATATAAAATTTGGATCCACATCCATCTGCAATCCGCAAACATGGTCCATGGATATCCACAGATGTGGATATCTGTGGATATAAAGCAGATATCTGCAGGTTTGCAGGGCTCTAGTGATGAAATATTAAATTATTAAAACATTAAAAAACACCACCCTCTTGTTGAGCTCTGTTGGAATCAAAGTGAGCTGAAATGCTTTTTAAATACATATGAAATCTGATTCATTAAGCACCAAGTCCTCCTTATCTTTACTTATGCAGGTAGTGCTTTGGGAGTCAATGGGATAACTCTCGTGAGTCAGACAAGTAAGATTTAGCCATCAGAAAATATGTGGTTAGAATTAAGAATAACAAATACTTTTATAATAAAATATAATTATTTAAAAATAAGTATCCTTTTATTTTTCCACCTTGGATTGAGTGCAGGGTTCTGTGTTTCAAAAGCAAGAGTTGATGTCATCACGATCACCTATAGTGTGCACAGCTTTATTCACATGTCTTTGCCTTAGACATTTGTAATATGCCTGTCACCAGAGTATCTAAGATTTTTGGAGTTAAGGCTGGCACCAGCTTTTGCAGTCAAGGCCTTGGTTTACTTTTAAAATGCATTAATTTATAATCGTAGTCTTGTGCCTATATTTTCTTGAGCCATAGTCCACCAAAATGATCCAGGGTTGTGCAGAGTCCCACTAATTTCAGAATGACTCCACATGTGCTTTGCAAGATCAGGACTGTAGGGCCCTATCTTGCACCACTGAAGTCAATAGGATTTTATGTCCAAAACAGTTGATAGTATTCAGTTTTATACAGCATTTCAGTTCCATCTTTAAGGTTTGTTTCAGCTGTTGGTCTTGAGAGTCTGTTTATTCATGTTTGAGTTGTATATTTACAAAGAGAGTGTTAAGGTGCTGGAGCAATTTAGCACTCTTCTTTGTGTTGGTAATATGGTTCAAAAGAAAATAAATGAATCCATAGTGTTATCTTTGGGTGTCTTATTTTGGACATGATATCATTTCCACCATTCTTCCTATTGCTTAGCATATTGCATATCTTCTTTATTATAGAGCACCGGTCATGACTCTAAAGTTAAGGCTGAGTTCCATTTTGCGCTTAAAGAAGAGATTTAGCCTCTTGTTGTTCATCTAAAATATTGTGTATCCTCTCCAAACTTATAGAATTTACTCTTTGAGTAAAGAATGAATATTATGAGAATTTGCAAATAAATCCGTTACTTTGAGTTTCAGTTAGTTTTAAAATAATTCCTTTGAGAAATTTAGCCTGTCAGTCTTTTTTGTCCTGAATGATCTTAATAATGGAATAACACAGACTCAGACATTCATATTTCATCAAAATCATGTGCATATGATAAATTTGTTAGTCTCTAAGGTGCCACAAGTCCTCCTGTTCTTCTTTTTGCGGATACAGACTAACACGGCTGCTACTCTGAAACCTTTCATGTGCATATGCTGTATTTGAAAATAGGTTGTAATTAAGCTATCATTATTAATGATAGTTGTAGCGAATGGTTAACTCAAATAGGCTGAAACAGGGTTCTACAACTCTGGTAGCTCTTAAGTAGGGCTATTGTAATATCAGAGGTGATTCAACCAATCATCACTCTACCTCTATAACTAATTTGCATGCAATAGCTTTATTGGTTGTAATGAGCAAGTAGTATGAGGGACACTGGAGATGTGTCAAGAGTTCTAATTGGTAGATTACTTGGCCCCAGTGTCACTACTCTTTAAAGGTTCCATTGCAGAATGCTACTTAGGCATCGATGCTTAAAGGCTCATTATGGCACTGGTGCCTCAGCTCCTCTGTGCACTAAGGCAGTCCTGCTGGGAAACTGAGAAGAGTGCATGGATGGCCAGAGTCATTGGGACCCAAGGAATGGGTTCCCCTCACCTCTTCACATAGCAATGCTCTCGGTATCACAGCCCTCTAAACCAATACATTAATGGCAAATTAAGGACCCAATTCATCAGTACACTAAGGTTGTTTTGTGTTGCTCTGGTGCACTGGTGAATCTGCCCTCTAAAGTTCAATAAATATATTAATTACTTAAGGTTGATACAAAATACCCGAACTCAGTAGAAACACTGCATGATAACTTTCATTTGGGGTTTCTTGTTTAGTGTCTATGTATGACATTTTTAATAATTTTTGAAAACCAAGGACATTTTCACACAAAAAACTGCATTAATATCAAATTAAGGTTGAGAATACGTATTAGTAATTTAAGAATAAAATCACAGATATGTTATAATTATACCAAACCCAGGCATTATAAACTCAGGAAGTTCAAAGTTAAAGTGACACTTAAAAAATATTCAAAATTTGAGGTACGGAATACACAAGTAAGGCATACAGGCAACTTTAACTCTGTCCTGTAGGTACACCATGAAGAGAAAAATATGGGGAAATAATTGTCATTAAAATCAGTTTAATCTAATTTGGACCAGAAACACTAAAATGCCTTAGTTTTGACGCGGTGCAGCTAAGATTGCTTGGGTGCCTTCAATGTGCATTTCCATACCATTTCTTTGAAGTGTAATCTTAACGCTGAATTTCCTGTGTTTCTGTTGCTTGGTTTTGGGACCCTTGCTCCATGTTCGCATAGTTTTTTGCCTTTGAATAAGGATTGTGAATTTGGTTTGCATCTGCCAGATTAGTTTAGGAAATATTTTAAATAATGCGTGATCATTCTGCACAGTAAATTGTCTCTCACAAAAATACTGATGCCAAATCCATAATGCATGTATAACAGTAATTGTTTTTCACATGCAGCAGTGTTTTACTTTGCTGATTTAATCCTCCTTGACACAGATATAACAGTTCATTACCATTCTTCATGTGTTCAGTTTAAGACATCTTAAAAGGCTTTCTGAGGAACATCTGTCCGATGTAACATTCCAGTGAATGGCAGATTTGAATCAAGAAAATCACAAAAACTGGAACATGGTGTTTTAGCAAGCAAAATCAATTCTTTTTGTTGGCAGTTCAGAACTGTACTTGGGATCCAAACACCCCAGAAGTTTTAGACTATTTAAAATCTGGATCCAAATTTTGTGGATTAAGAACTTCTCTAGTTTTAATTTGCTTGCCAGCAGTACCAACAAATGAGTTGCAAATTGAACCAAGGGACTTGAATTTAAGTAGACCAGGCAACATATACACCTCTACCCCGATATAACGCGACCCGATATAACATGAATTCAGATACAACGCAGTAAAGCAGTGCTCCCGGGGGGGGGGGGGAGGGGTGTGGATGAGGGGCGGGGCTGTGCACTCTGGCAGATCAAAGCAAGTTCGATATAACTCGGTTTCACCTATAACGTGGTAAGATTTTTTGGCTCCCGAGGACAGCGTTATATCGGGGTAGAAGTGTAGTAACAAGCAATTGTTCAGAGTTTTCTCAAATTTCGTGCTGCTTTTTAGTGCAAGCCATTTCACAGTCTTTAAATTTCTGGATTTTTAATTTCTTTAGAAATTGTATCACTGGGCCACCACATCACAGGGAAGAT